ACGTTCAAAGTCCCTACCGTAGATAAATTCTGGCGCGGCCGTACAAAGGCGCCTCGACCCTTTACACGCGCTATACTCTCCACTGGACTGGCTCGACCGGGAAACCTACCCCTCGTAGAAACCTATCCCTCGTATTGGGACCGGCGACAACCTATGCACGTGTCTACGACACCAGAATGGACAACGCTGTATTTTTCTCGGTGACGTGCTCGACAGGAGGCTGCCACGTCATCATTTCAGACGACAACGGTGGGCCTTGCTCGATACGAGGTGCCGACGCGGCCGTGTCGTGTCGGTGACGCACCCGCGTCATGCAACGTGCAGCGACGACGACGTGCGCGTGGCCATGGCGTCGGTCAAGCCGTACCGCGACGAGCTCCTTCGGCGCATCCGAGCGGCAAAGGCGATGCTGCCATCCCTCCAGGAGGCCAATCCACACGCGACGTTCAGCCACTTGACCAAGTTTGCACTGCTCACGGACGAAGAGTTTGTGCGGTTCGCAATGGTCTCGGCAAGGCCATTGCCGGAGCGCTTGTCGTCCGCCACCCGGACGAATCATACGGCTCTCGGTGGCCCCGTCGTCAAGGCAGTCGATTGGACCAAGCAGTCGATTTGTGTGCCGCCAGTCAAGACCATGGGCAAGTGTCGGAGCCATTGGGCGATCGCCGCGGCAGCGGTCGTGTCCTCGGCGCACTGTCTCGCGACCGGCGAGGCCATCGACCTCTCGGAGCAGCAAGTACTGAGCTGCACGACGCCCGGAGGCGCCAACGGCTGCCGCGGTGGCTTTGCGACCACGGGTATGAAGTGGCTCGTCTCGCAGCCCACTCGGTGTGCTCGCGATCGGCGATCCCATACGTCTCGGGCGCCTCGGGCTCGGTGTCGATCTGCAGCGACAACTCCAAGTGCGACGGGTCCATCTCGCTCCAAGTCGGGAACGTCTTCGAAGCCAGCGGAGACGACGCGCTCGTCGAGCAGCTCCAGAAGCAGCCGGTTGTGGCGTACGTCACGACGTCCAACATCTCGTGGCGACTGTACGCTGGCGGCGTCATTTCCTGGTGCCCCGCCGGGTACCCGGACCAACCAGGCGGCCAAGCCGTTCTCGTCATTGGCTACGGCACCCAAGACACTGGCTTCGGCTCGGCGCCCATTGACTTTTTCAAGGTGCGCAACGCGTGGGGCTTCAACTGGGGCGAAGCTGGCGACATCCGGCTCGCACGCGGCGACCGACATCGCGGAACGTGCGAGGTCACAACGCACCTCTCGTACCCGACGCTCCAGCTTCCAGCAGCCATTCGTGCGTCCATGACGCCAACAACCGTCGACGCGCGCAGTGTCGACAGCGTGGCCACAAACGATGACGCCTCGGACGAGACCGAAAGAGGGCTTCACGCCGTCCGACAGTCTGCGCCAGCTCGAGATCCAAGCCAATGAAATCTTTGACGTGTACCGCGAGATGTACTACCAAGGTACTGTTTCATGCGATGCTACATACAGGCTCATGGCCCAATGCCAGGTGGCATCTCGTCCGTCTACAAGTGGGACTTGGAGCCGGGCTTTGCCGCGTGCTTTCTCATCAAGAAGGACGTGCACCAGCAGCGGTACCGCCTCCTTGATCGCAGTAGCATTCACGTAACGACGACGCTATCGTAGCTTCGTCCAGAACGGCGGGTGGAGCTCGATCCACGTCATTGAGGTCTAATAGAAGAGCGCGAGAGAAGCCGTGTACGAGCTCACGACAAAGATCCTCGTGACAATGGACGTCAACCGCAACGAGCTCGGCCACTTGAACCTCGACGGCAACTTGACACGGCAAACGGAGAAGGTCCTGCCCTTTGACATCCCCAGCGCGCACCTCACCAGCATGGGCCACCTCATTGAGGACATGGAGATCGAGATGCGGTCGAGCCTTGACCGCGTCTACATCTCCAAGACACGCAAAGTGATCAACGGCATCCGAAAGCTCAAGCACGGGTATGCCTAGTAAGTATCTTTATCTGTGTCCCTATCCACCCTTGTTTCATTTGTGTACTCACCGACGCTGGCCTTCGAGAAGGAGGACTGCCGCTGCAACCGACCCCTCTTCGACCTCAAGTACCTCCGGTAAGACCGTTCGCACCCACTGGGCGGGCCCTTCACGGTGGCGGCGACGGCTAGGACGCACCGCGCCAACAGCGTCAAGGAGTAGGCCCACGCAAGGCAGCATCTTTGTCGGGGAACTCGGCCGCGCCGTTCTCAAGCATGGCGCGACCAAATAGCCCACTGCGTAATATCTCAAAACACGTGCGGTCGACATCGTATTACATGTACGGAATAGGACACTCTAGGTGGATCGGATACGGTATTCGGTGGATCGGATACGATACTCGGTGTGGATTGGATATGGTTGCTATCCTGGAATCGCTGTCGGTTTGGATACTGTGCAGGCGTCGTACCTCGTTGCTGTGGGGGCGGGCAAGCGTATCCTGTGATACCGCCGGCCCGAGTGCGCGTAATGACACGAGATATCGCGGTGGCCCCATGGCTACTCGCGACAACCTTGCGTTGCTTCCGCGGAAGCGTCCGTTCCGTTGCACCTTGACACTGCGAGGCGGCGCATCCGACGCGTCACCTCTAAGACCACCACGTGACGGCTAGCGTAGAATACCCTACGTATTGCCGCGGACAGCTTGACACGGCCGGGGTTGCCCCATAGCAAGGCGCGGTATCTTTGACGTACATGTACAACACCCCACTGGCTACCATCATTCACGCCTCCAATTTGCAATCCCTATTCAGATCAATTCATCCTTTCTGACGATGCAGTGATGATGGAGAGGGTACATATCAGGATGCATCGGGCGAGTCAACGTTGTGGGTGAGCTCCACCGTTCAGAGTCGACCTCCAGCGTGAACCATCGAAGGGTAGAAAGGCCAGGAAGGACGCGATCTGTATACTTGCGACCGTGGTTCGCAGCGACTTCCTTGGTCTGTCGTTCTGGTTCGTGCTGATTGGTTGATTTAGGGTGCAGAATGATTTGATTCGTCAAACGGTAACCACGTGGTTTAGGAATGTATGTCACGAGGTTAAAGCTCGCTGATTGGCTGGATGCCTGGCAAAAAGCAACAATTGACAAAAGCCGTTGGTCGAGCGTGCCATGGCCAGGAAGCGCAAAGCAAGCCATCGCAACGAGAAGCCCATCGACCAGATGATTGCGGACGCCACGAAGCTCCGCGATGAGACACTAACGTCCCCCCGTATGGCGTCTGGTGTCGTGCAGTAAGACATTACGTGAGCGCCAACACGCTGAGCCAAGCGGCATTGGACCAGCTCTTCAAGGTTGCCGTGCGAGAACCTTCTGCGACAACTTGGGCTCGTGTCGCGCAAGTCGTGAATGAAATGGATCCGGCTTCTCGGCGCAGTACACGTGATGCGGCCACCGCCGACAGCGTTCGGCAAA